GGGGGGGGGCGGTGAAGAGATGTTTTTATTGTAGACAGCATAGCCCTAACGTCAGTTTTTTAATTTATTTTAGATTACTGTGCATGCGGATTTGATACTTCAGAATTCCAAACAAGCAAATTGTTTCTTATAATAATAAATTACAAGGTAGCCTACGTTCACTACCAAAAACAAAGAAACAAAACTGCACTACTGAAAATACATAACAACCTCCCATGTGAGGCGGATGAGGACAACATTTTAATCCTTGCTCTTCTTGGTCTTCATAGTGCTGCCTTTGACACTATAGATCACACCATTCTTATCGAACGATTGTTCAACGCGTTTAATATTTCCTATAGTTTCCTAACTGGTTCAGGTCCTATCTGATGGGCCGTACACAATCGGTAGTGCATACGACATACATACAACTGTCTTCCATCAATTAGGCTACTTACAAAGTGTAGATGACAACTTGAATTGGATAGAAAGGTTATCAGCATGTTTCATCGGCGTCTGTGGTGTAGTGGGTACGCACTTCTCAGTTGTATACTGGAGATCCACCAATCTCGATATCCAAGTGGAGGCACATTTAAGCACGTACCTTAATGGTCATTCTGCAGCCACGTTATTTCCCTCTCAGCATGGGTTGCCCTTGACAAGCAAGGTCGAATCCCACCTCCAACCAAACGTTCTAAGGCAGAACAACATTTCAAGCAGTGCCCCATCAATCGGTTCTGTGACTTAATTAAATTCTTGATAGAAAAGAATTTTCCACAGGTACTCTCGTGATCTAGAGGTAAGATGTTCGCCTCTCATTCAATAGGCGCCGGGCTCAAAACCTGACAGCGAACGGAAAATGTTCTTCCCTGAAATGTTCACCTTTCACCTCCTTTCCTGCACTCTAACCATTTTCTGTCGTCTGCTTTCGTCTCCACTTTCTGCCATCGCTACCCCGCCCCCTTTGTCCCCCTCATCTGGGCTCCTGATTCTTTCTGCTGCCCTTTTACACAGCTACTTTTTGGTTCTTTCTTACTGATGTCTTTCAGCCACACCCCTGGTCTTGCAGTTGGTAAGATGTAACACCTAGCCTTCTCAGAGGAGGGTGAAAAAATCTCGGAAGTCTCGGGTGCAAGCTGTGCACGTTAAAGATCCTATGGTGGTCTTAAAATTAAAAAAAAAAGCTTCGGCCGCCACCAGGGGGGAATTCAAGATCAATTCCATGATTATGGCAATATTTTAATTTTTTTTTTTGGTATAAGCATGTAAATATGCCCCCCCCCCCCCTTTTTTCCCCCTCAAATAACAACAAAACAACAAAACAAAAAGAAAAAAGGAAAAAAAGAATACCCCTAAAACACAGAACTAAGTGCGCCAGTAGCAAAAAATAATATGCCTAACTCATCATGCTTCGATCAACAGGAGTGATCGAGCCGTTGAAAAATGTTTGATATCAACGTTACAACCTGGAAAAACATCTTCGCAACGACACTGCCAGGGGGTGTTAATTTTCACGAAAACATTTTGTGTTGGTTCGTCTCTTGATGGGGTTAAGGGAAAAATGTCCTTGGTGTGAGTGTGAGTTGTCCATCGTTCAATAGATAATGTATCACGGGAGGAACGATGGAAGCACGGACGTGTTCTTTAGCACTCTCGTTTCTTTGATTGTGGCAAAAAGATCTTAGATATGAGTGTTGCAATGTGTGTTTCTGTCTCTCTTTTAAATGATTTCGGTATGTCTGTCTGTCAGTCTGTCTGTACCTATCCATCTGTGCTAACGTGTGTGTGTGTGTGTATGTGTATGTGTGTGTGTGTGAGTGTGTGTGTGTGTGTGTGTGTGTGTGTGTGTGTGTGTGTGTGTGATGGTGTGTGTGTGTGATGGTGTGGGTGTATTTGTGTGTGTGTTTGGGGGGGGGGGGGGGGGTATTCATAATATGAAACTTGTTTTAAAAAACACAGAAAAGCACATAAAGAGAGATATAGACGGAGGAAGAGATATATAGTATTAATATATAATATATAATATACATACACACATATACAAAGAGAGAAAAGAGAGAGAGAGAGAGAGAGAGAGAGAGAGAGAGAGAGAGAGAGAGAGAGAGAGAGAGAGAGAGAGAGAGAGAGAGAGAGAGAGAGGGAAGGGAGAGGGGAGAAAGAGAGAAGAAGAAAAAGATAAAGAAAATTATTCTCTAAAATTTTGGCAGGGGCAACCGTCCTCTTTCCCCAATTAGGAAAAAAATCTACACCATTCCCCCCTCCCACCAAAAAAGAAATATAAAGTAAAAAAACAACGCACACAAGAAATAATAACTCTTCCTCAGTGTTTCCCTCTCAGACTATGGCACCCACAGTGATTGTGAAGATCATAGATCTAGTTGTTGCCCTCGTCAGTTCTGTTCACTGTTCACGTGGTGAAAAAAACCTTGCACTTACAATTATTTTTTTTTACATTAAATTCCTTAATTATTCAGTCTTAGAAATGCACACATATTTTTGGCGTCTTAGTTTCGTGCTGATATATTTATATTCAAAAGAACACTGTTGATATTGAACAACACGAACATAAATTCTACCTTTAAAATATCTTTTTTTTAAATTCAAATTTGCAACATATTATAACTTTATGAGATACTAGGAGTTTTTTTTCACTTCTAACAGCAGCACTTTACAGACAAGTTGAGACCTTGACACAATGGCCTTGGGCTATAGGCCTATTATGGTCACATCGTTATGCTGTGCACCCCAGTTCAGTGACACCCTCCTTTTTTAAACAGTATTTCTTAATCTTTAACCTTTATAGTCATTTAAAAACTTTGACCCCCCCCCCACCCCGCCAAAAGAAACTGACAACCCCCCCCCCCCAACAACCCAACCCCCTCCCCCCTCCACCGAAAACAGTGACCCATACCAAATTTGCTCTCTCTAAATTATGGAAAGTCAACGTGGAAGGCTGGATGAGTGGGTGGTTGTAAGGTGTCACGGTTAGGTCTTAATTAACTAGTCGTTCTCTCTGTTGTTTCTCTCTGATTTGCTTGTCCCTGAACTAAATGACAGTTGTTATGTCAATGTATTTCTGTTGATGCAAACAAGATCCCAAGATTACCCAGCAGATACAGCAGCTAGGCTGTAGGGCCGTGTCTGAAGGTCATAAGGAAAATATGCTGTGGTAGGGTAGGGAAGGGAGCTGAGTGGAAGAAGGGAGGTGGGGGTAAGGGGTAGTGAGAGAGAGAGAGAGAGAGAGAGAGAGAGAGAGAAAGAAAGAGAGAGAGAGAGAGAGAGAGAGAGAGAGAGAGAATGAGCAAAAGAGGGAGAGAGGGAGAGAGACAGTGATAGACAAACAGACAGCATAGAGACATAAACCGTACGTATACAGAAAGAGAGTGACAGAGGGAGAGAAAGACAGAGACATGGCGAGAGAGAGAAAGAAAGAGGGAGATTTTTAAAATAATATTTCAGGTAATATATACATATAAAACCAAATGAAAGAGAAGGAGAGCATTATTAAATAACTGAGACTACACATTGCTCCTAGTCCTAGTCTTTACAACAGAACCAGTTCCCAGTATGTTCTAGCATAAAACAAGCACTATGACAGTAGAATAGTTTATGAGACATTTTATTACAGCACTCACAGGCCATGAATTATGATGTGTGAGAAAACACACAGCTTCTCAAATGATTCTGCTTCCTATACAAAAGAAACGTTCACAGCATTAGATTTTTACTTATTTTGTACAATATGAAAAATACATTTCTTCAGCTCAGCAGTATAATTAACAGCAGAAATATCACAATAGTTAGAAAAGTTTAAGTGATTGACAAATTCACAATACTTGTCGTGGTAAAAATATCTCTTTACAATTTAACAATAACTGTTAATTTATAAAACAATAAAATCAGTTTCTTTTAAAGCAAAATACTCCAAATGGGTCAGAAAAGATTGCCAATTATGGATTTATAAAATAACACTACTCCAAAAAAGAGGTGTTTCTTCAACAGACATAACCTTTGACTCTGACGCAGGTGACCCTGGTTCAAATCCCTCAGGGAGATATTCTTGAACTTGAACCGTTAGGGGTTCCAAGGTTCTCCAACCATTTGGTTTGCTTCTCTAGCATTTATAACATTTTTCTGTCCAGACTTTCTCACTTCAGAAACAGTCAAACCAAAGTTGTATTTTTTTTCTGTTAACACAATAATAAGACACATTAAGACGGCAATAATGCAAGGATGCACTAATTTTTTTTAAAAGAAGTTTCCAAAATCAATACTTTTTTCTGCCATCAACTAAAAAAACATAAAATCTGTACACTTTCATAACCTTGATTTCACTTACTTGAATTGAAAATCATAGCAGCATCTTTCAATATGTCTCTCACAAGACATCATTACATTTTTCAAAGAAATAACTTCAAGTACATGAAATTGGGTTGCCTCTGTATCAATGTTTTATATACAAAACAGAAATGACATACTCTCTGTTTGATGAAATGATAACTCAAATCATGTCATTAAAACACTACTTCGCCCAATGGTGTCTGAAAGGAAAACAGCAGTATGTACCAACTAAATTCTGTGTATGTTTAACATTACTATCACAGTCACAGAGTCAAATAAAGTCAAATATTCTGTATCATGCTACACATGATATGGAAAGACATACAATTTAAAAAATCACTACAAAAGCCAGTCAGTGTGAGTGGTACTCACACGAAATCAATATATCACAATTGAATATGCATACAAATATGTAAATAAAAAGTAAAAACCTCATATCTTTTGGAATGGCAATTAAGTCAGCAGTATAATTAGCATTTCTGAAAATATAACACCAGATCTGCTGCAACATGATGAAAGTCTAACGAGGAAATGAAATACAACACACATTTTGGAGGGAGTTTGAAGGATTCAATTTCCCCTAACAAGCAGGCACATGAATAAAACATTTTGGCAGAGAGCTGTGAAGCATTCTGATAGTTTTTTTTTCTATCAATAAAACCATTAGAAACTTCTCTCTTTCTCAGAAAATAAAATGGCATTGTGTGGAAACCAAACTAGAAATAGGCCAACATCACCTTCTTGAGTAAGAGCATTTTTTTCTGTTGTTGGATTGGGAGATGGGCTTTTCTTCGCCATGAATAATGTTAGTCTAAAGACAAGTCGGTAATAACAGCAGCTGTGCCAGTCCTTCAAACTGCCATGAGGGTGAGAGCTACCCGCTTCTGGGCCCAAATATTCGGGTGCTCCAGGGACGGTAAGGGAATGTTCCACAACACATTGGCATCTGAGTGGTGGTCAGAGTGCCGGGCGCTGTACAGCGGGCAAAGGTACACAGCATTCTTAGCCGCCGGGGCTGGGACAGACTTGTTTGTTGTTGAGGCTTCAACATCTCCTGGTTTGACCCAGATCGTGGGGAAGGGGCCATACCCGTGGGGTCCAGGTGGAGCATCAGAGATGATGTTCAGTGTGGTATCCCAGGTGGCGTTCTTGAGCTGAACACCCGTGAGGAAAACTCCAGACGTTGCAGACATAGATGGAGTCAGTCCCTCGGGCATGACCTGAAGAAGAAACCCACAAAATTGGATTAAATATTCATTGTAGAGACCTAGTGACCGTTTGACTGAATTCAAGTCTGTTGAAGTTCAAGAGACGTACACTACAAAGATAATGTTGTTCAGGAGGTGGTAAAATGGCAAGACAGACAGACAAAAAGCAATAAAAAGAAGGTATAGAACCTATCATAAAAAATACATTGCTAACAATCAGTTTCCTAAAACAAATCAAAAGTGAGGTGGACATCCAATCTCATGGATTATAAAGATTTGAAAAACATGAAAATTAATATTATCAAAGCGAACAAGCCACTACTCAATTCATTTCTGATGGCAAAGATGTTTTTTATCTATGTTTATTCACTTCCATAAAACAAAAGTACAGTTTATTAGCATCCATAACTATATAATCCTTCATTAGCACCAAGTGACGTATGTTTTCGCCGACTTCCTCACTCCAGAGGAATCAAGACCGTGCTAATGAACTCAACAAAACTTTTTCTTTGTGTCAGAGCCAAAAGCACATTTCTAATTCCTCTGCCCTTACTGACAATCAGTTAGCAAATGACGAGAAACACTTATTGTCCCTACGTGACACTGCCACTTTTTTAAGCTATATAACCAAGCATTTTGCTAAAACTTTTTACTTCTCCCTCTATTCTGTGCTATAAATTAACTTTCTTGCAAAAGAAAGATACAATGCAGGCTCACATTGTTTCTTTATTACTGAGTTTCAATGAGATTTGCCTGTTAGCTATGCATTCAAAACTAGTCATGCACCTGAAATACACCATACACACAACATTACGTGATCCTGAAGATGGGAGAAAATTGCTGTTTCCAAGCAGCATACGGTGGACACAGAAACAGTTGGCCAGATTACGAAAATATTTCTTGACACAACCATTATTCTGGTTTAAAAAAAACCCAACTAAAATAATTTCTCATAGAAATAAAGAACTTTTAAAAATAACTGACCAAATAATAGAAAAGGATACCAAATCTTTTATCGTCTGACACAAGTCCTTGGCTTCACCAGGGGACAAACATCAGCTCTCAGTAAACCTCAGGGGATCGCATGATGCACAAGGATATTATTAGAAAGAATTTCTCTTTTAACACTGTCCACCCATGCAGCGCGCTGAATGTGAAGCACTTATCCCCATGGAGCAAGAGACAGGTGCAGTACATACTATGTATGTCCTGTCGGGAATAGGGACGGCTTCTTACGGGCAAAGTGTTAAAAAGCTATAAATGTGAATAAGACTTTGTACAAAGCTTTTCTAGGGGAAGTTACACTCTTTTGTCTTCATGTTTATGTCCATTCTTGGTCTTGAGTCAAAGCACATTCTGCGAAAGTAGTCATGTTGAGTTATAATTAAAAAAAAAAAAAAATTTCCCTCAAACTATGGAAATCAACACTAAGTAATCATCAACACATTTTGCATTACCTGGAAATCAAGTTTCACATCAGCTATATCCTTGAAATTTTTCCTGGCGTATGTCTGCATGACCACACGGAACAACCTGTCGGGCCGCAGAAACATGCTGAGGTGAAGCACTGCCGGGCACTCCAGTAAGCAGTCTTTGATATATGTCATCCTGATGGCCATCTCCGACAGCCACACCCGAAGGCTGGGACTCGTGGCAAACGCATCCCCGAGCCAGGCTGTCGGGACTTCGTCATTACAGACATCGTTAAAGATGGAGGACATGTGAGAGGTCAGTGAGATCTCCCCCTGGGCGGCCTTGGACAACGTCTTGAGGTCGTTCTGGAAAAACAGACCATGCCACATCCATTACAAACACTATAAAACCACAAACCAACAAATTATTTCGCAAGGTAACTTAAACTATGTCACCAAGCAGTGGAATGAGACGCTGTCAATTTTGGGGCATATGAAATTTTTAGTATCATCTTAAAGGTTGTACATTCGTCTTTTTTTATTTTATTTTTTTTAATACTCATCTTTGGAAACTGCAAATTTACATTTCTGTGCCTTTTATCAATATTTTTTGGTAAAATCCATACAGACATGACTTTTTAAAATGAATACAAAAGGTGTTGAGCCCCCCAAAAAAATTCGATAAAAAATAACCAATGTACTAGAAAAGTATAGTTCTTTTGATTTTATTATTTTGGCGAGTGCATGATTTCAGCATGATGCTCACAATTATTCAGTGAAATCTATTTGCAACAGTACAGTTAAGGCATAAATGGATTTCATGGTGAAGACATGCCTATATATAGGCCTAGCATCAGGAATTAGGGCAGAGATAAATCAGAGGCAAATAACCAATTAAAGACATCATGTTTCATTGACCACACCTTTCATTGAATAAATTTTAATGTTTCAACGATCAGTCATGATCATTCTTATAGAAATAGCGACAAGATTTGAAAAAATATAAAACAGAACAGAAAGTAAAACAATAAACAGCTACACCAAAACTAGAGCATTGAGCAAGAATGCCAGAGAGAAAGAAGAAGATGACAAGAAGATTGTTTCCAAAATAAATATAATTGTACTAGGAGAGGAGCTCTGCTGCAAAGCTTATGTACGAGCTTCAGTTCTATCCCCAGTTTAAACATGATAAGCACAGGCTTGGCAGTGACTGCTTTTTTCTCTTTTCCCTTCTGTGCATCAAGTATGCCTGGGCACATATATATCTTGCAGTTAGCACAAAGAAGCCCTGATGCATGGGTCTGATAGGCTCAGAAAAGCAGTTTTAAATGTTAAACCAGGAAAATATATTTCAAATCTATACAGATTGCTCACCCCTGTTTGATCATTCATGCTCTTACTGTTCCCACCACATGCCTACCTGCACTATCAGAAACAACTGCTTGAAACCAGCCACTTCCTGGCTGAAGAAAACATCCAGAGGCATGATCTGGGCAGAGGAGGTGTCGGGAAGGACCGGACAAGCGGTTAGTTGGTCAAGCAGTGCCGGCAAGATGTGTCCTGCTAGAGCAGAGGATGGGGCACCACCGCGGAGCTGAGAGGACAGTAACAGTTCAGGGGCCCCTGTAGCCTGCGTCAGCTCTTTGATCAAGATCCTAGAAGAGAATCACATTCCCAGAAAAGTAAGTTTATTTGCACTTTGAGAAAATTAATCTTTAAGTGGCATAAAAACGTTGAACATGGTTCTAGAACAGAAACAAAGAGAAAAAAAGGTAAGTTTGTTTGCTCTTTAAGGAAATTAGTCTTAAAATGGCATATATATACAATTTACAAAGACACTGACTAAGATTCTAGAACAGAATAAAGGTACCAAACATTTAGTTGTACTTTGATTTGACCTGTTTAAAAAACAAACAACCCATCCCAAACAATATTAAAATACAAAGGCAAAGAGAGCACGTCTCTTTTGGTAATTTCTCATCCATCTCACTCAGATCTAGGTAACTCGTCAGATTTGAAAAACTTTGTAATAAAAAATTCTTAAAATACCAAGACATGAGATATTGTTCATTAAATAGTACATGATATGAACTCCCATAAACAACATCTTGTTTTTGCATTGTAGTTAACAATAATTACAGGCAATGATAACGTTAACATTTTGCAGCAATAGATTAGCAAAATAGCAACTTGAGATCAAAATGAAAAGCACTGGAACTAGAAGCAAAAAGTTTGGAAAAATAAGCAAATTAGCTCACTAACAGTGTTACTAGGTGATATACACTTTGTAAACCCTGCGCAATTATCTACAACCAAGAGCAGACGTACTTGCTCTTGGAGGTCATGAGGTGTGCCTGAGCTTCATCAGGCAGGGAGAATGTCCGGGCCGAGATGTCCTCGATCGAGTCCAGTGCCCGCTGCAGGTCACCTGTCTCCTTGATGCCTTCAATCAACCGCTGCAAAAGCCGCCCAACTCCCTTCACTTCTTTGCCAGAGATCTGAAAAAACAATATATGTTTTACGAAATGGCCTTGCTTATAACAACAGCATCAACACTACGTATATTTTCCTCTATGTCGTAAGACAGAGTATATCAAAGATCACAAAAGTAATTTTCTTATGATTTCTGCAAAGTATGCCAAATCGGAAAGTCAGAAACTCTGAATATCTAAAAAATTTGGTGTGCGTGTGTGTGTGGTGGTGGTGGTGGTGGGGGGATGGGATGTGTGATTCTGGAGCATATCCAGGGTAGAAATCATGATTTTTAATTGATTTAAGATCATGTGCTTTTGTCATCCTTGCCCAGTGTGACATGTTTTATTTAAAAGTAAACTTTACTCCAATAAACTTGAAAAGCTCTTAAGCTAAACTTTCTGCCGTGATACCTAGCTGAAAATAGTCTGAGGCTTTGGCTCTTGCATAAAAGCTAACAGCGCAGAACAGCAATGTACTCTTACAATATTTCCAGACAGGCTCTTATACCTAGAAGTTCTTACCTCTCCAACATGTACGCTGTATCTGGCTAAATCTTTCACCACGGCCTGCACAGACCGGGCATCAGACAGATCGCGACAATGGCCAGAGTAAACCTGGGCCACAAGGTCTGTGGTTGACTCCAGGTCTGTGGTCCAGGCAGTGAGATTTTGGAAGACGTCCACAGCATTAGCGAGGTCAGCCAGCGTCCAGAACTGGTGGTTGACAAAGGCATGGCGGCCGTAGTAGGACTGCTGGAGGACCAGGGCGTGGAGCAGGGCAAGGGGCATCACTCTGTGGAACCGCTGGACCATCTGGCCAACAAAAAGTTATGATCTTAACCACTTTTAAGCTTTTTTTGAGTTTGTGTCTTTGGTTTTGAGTAAAGAGAAGCCTGATGAGTGGTCATACAGTGCAGGGAAAGCGTAAAACGGATAGGAAAAATAGTGGGAAAGAAAAGAAATAGGCCTTAGTATGCATTGACCCCCTTCAACCCCCCCCCGCCCCAAACCACTGACGTTTGTAAATAAGAATGTTTTTTCCATTTTGTCTCAGTACATGAAGATGAAAGAGGCTTGAAGAGAAAGGAAAAGAGATATAAAAAAAGAGAGAAAGTGAGAGAGAGAGAGAGAGAGAGAGAGAGAGAGAGAGAGAGAGAGAGAGAGAGAGAGAGAGAAAATTAATTCCATTCAACTTATACCTCTGATTCAGTAGCTGCTTTGGCACTCATAAGGAAACCTGTAGACTTGTATGCCTTGCCTAGTAGGCTCCGGAAGTTGGCCGTTGCCTCGCAGGTGACCCGCAAACCATGTTGAATCAGCAACCCTGAGGGTGAGGGCAAGGGGAGGGGATGGGAGGTAGCGGAGGCATTGGCCGGGGCAGAGAGAGAGAGAGAGAGAGAGAGAGAGAGAGAGAGAGAGGTAGGGTCGGGGGGGGGGAGACAATACCATTAATTAACATATATCAAAATATTCAAGGCATACAGAGTGCTTCTGAAAACACAGGGGACACAACCAAGACAACCACTGGCACATAAAAAAACCTATGGAGTTGCTTTTCTTTCTAAAAAGTTGTATAGACTTTGTATTTATGCTGTACGATTCTGAGGAAATAAAACTTCATCGACACTTCGAAGCGTGCGATTAGTATTCATGCTATTTGATTACTACCATCGAATGTTTTTATCTTACATATGAAAAGTCTATTTCTAAGTTCCATAATTCCACATTCATAAAGTATAATTTTAATAAACTATAATATTAAGGAATAAACATTTGCTGTGCTTCAAGAGACAAGTGCTCTTGTCTGAGCTATTCATGGTATAGAATAATAATGGAAACTCTGTAGAGGCGTGTGTTATAATTTGTTGGTTCCTCTTATCACTCACGGCGCACCGGCAGTGGCACGTCGGGGTCACGGGGGTCAGCTCCCTGTCGCCGCTCTGTCTGGGCCGACTAAATTTTTGGTACTTTTCAACGTACAATTTTAGGTGTATCCTTGTATTTATGGTAATTCTCATTTAGTGCACCCAAAGCATGCATTTCTGCTCTTGAGATTAAAAAAAGAACGGACACTGTAACTTGTCTGGTTATTTCGTTAAACGTGCTGGAGTCGGCAATGCTAAATTGTAATTTTTTTTTGACTAGCGCGAATGAAAAAAATCAATATAAAAAAAAGGCCTCGAAAAAATCTGTCGAACTTTTGGAACATGAACGGCATAGCATTGGTGCAGATGCTCAGAAAAGATGGTATCTGCGCATATAATAGAAAGTTGTAATTTTGCAACTTTATCCACCGGGCACACAAGTCGCTATGAAGTAATTCCTCCAAATGCAACTTTATATGTCTAACATAATCGTGCATATTCGTATATTTTCTCGAAAGTTTATAAAAGTTACTCTGAAGTTTCTCTATGAAAAGTACAAATCAAATTTTAATGCCAGAATACATCTTCAAGGTAATACATGAACAGTACAGTATCTGTTACACTCCAGAAATTCTTGCTTTTCTTAAAACGCTTAGCTAGTCTAGGTTTTGTAAGTTGACTGAATAATAGGGATGACTTCTCGTAATTGGGTTACAAGAATAATTTCTAGCTTTCCAGGGACTCTGAATCAGCAAAAGACTTTTCCAGCTTTATTTTTCGTTTCTATGACCATTTGCAATAACTGACAATGTGACTTATTTCTTTACATTCATAATTGTGTCCGCGCATATTTCCTACACAAAAACTAAGAATGAATGTTTCAGCTGTCATTATTTTTATTCCATACAAGAAGTTTATCTCTACCCATGTATTTACATGTTTTTTTTGGCTTTTTTAATCGCTTATATTATATCTTTTTAGTTGTATGCAGGCTGCCACAGACACAGCATGATTCATGAACAAACGCAGAGTAACTTTCTCTTGTTTAATAGTAAAATAAAAGCTTACACTGATCGTCTTTAGTTAAAAAATGCAGACGTGTATCTTTCTTCTCTTATAACTTGACTATTACTACTCACGCAGATTTAAGATTTCTCATGGTAAAAGACATGATATTCGCAGTCAGTTTAACACAGATTTTGGAGAGATCTGTCGTGCCTTTTTTAAATTAACAATACTTTATTCATAAATTTGAAACTAAAATAGGACAAATTGGGTACTCTACAAACACTTGTCTAGAACAAAAACTAAGGCACAGAAATTATCCATTCTAACGGGCAAAAAGTAACGCTGTGCACTATATCTCATAACCATCAAGTACATTAGTATTGCTGTATTTATCTCAATGATTTTATATATAATATGCTCTAATTTTACTGCTGTTTGAGAAAAATGAGACGAAAATCCATTATCTGTAAAATAAATCATAGGCCACTCGAAAAGCGCAGCTATCATGGATGTTGAATAGTGAAGTCGAACGGGCACAACTTTACTTAGTAGGGCCTATCACATTTTGAGGTGAAATTACACATTCCTTCATTTTCTTCCTTTCTCTATTCTTTTGTGCCTACATGCCTGCCCCTTTCAGTCTTTAAAGTTGTATCAAATACTGTCATGATTAAAACAGTGCATTTCAGCAGATAAATGGGAAAAGATAAAACAGCATGCAAAAAGCATTTTATCAGATGACAGGCCAACAGTGTGGCTAACCAACAAAGCAAAGACAATCAGATTTCTTTGATGTAAAAACAAATCTCACCTGGTATAATTCTCTTTCCATCAGCCCTGGTGGTGATCCACAGCCGGAACAACTTGTGTATTTTGTTCGAGTGTACGTGAGTGGAGGGCCGAGACCTGGTCACAAGGCTCCGCCCCTCATCACTCACTTCACCACGATCAGCATTCTCCTTCTCTGTCCACCTTGCATAGATCAAGTCCTGATTTAAAACAGAAAACACAAAATGGAACTCAGGCCAATCAGTAAACACATACAATGGTAAATAATAACAGCTTATTTACACAAACATACAATATATGAATGTGCTATTGTTGGCCAGCTGTTCACATGTACTAAGTCCAAAATTGCAAAAATAATTTTTAATACAGTTTCTTAACCTGTGGTATCGATTGTAAGTGATCAAGAAATATCTTGTCAAAATTAAAATTCTAAATGCCGAAAAATGCAAGAATAATACAAAAAGTAGGTACAATTGTCAAAAGAATGAAACAGTATTGTTTCTTTTCCGAAAATGTATGCTTTCTCACCTTAGTACATTTGAACAGTTTGCTGACAAAATGCAACACGGAGAGAGACACAAGATAAAGCAGCAGACTGCAGAACATCAATAATTTTCTAGAATTCATTAATTCTAGCATTTTCTGCTGCATATAGGCCTCACTGGCCACATGCAGTGTCATCACAAATACAGACAGATATTGCACAAATACTATCATCTGTTGTGAAGGAAACAAACTGCATACCATTATTTAAGACACAAGATGTGGTGCAAAATACACAAACACTATCTTCTGGTGCAAAGGAAAAGTGTATAAGATCATCACACGATTTCAAAGCATACCAAAATATAATATGGGACCACTTTTTGTATCTCATACCAAATGACATCGCTTACTTCATACAAATTCCGCTTTGTTTCATTCTGCTTGCTTCTTAAACCTGGTTTTCTGAGTCCTGTACTGACTCATGGTGATGATTTATTTCTCACCTCATCTAATGTGTCCAGCCTCTAAAATTTGGTGATCATGCCTTATTTGAGCAAGATCAGAGTTTGAGTGCAAGTAAATGCACGCAGTATATCTTTATATCAAGCTCCTATCAGTAAAAACTATTTTGTGAGTAACAGGCTAAAGTGATAAAAGGAATAAATGCACAATAAAAGTAACTAGTTGTGAGTAACCTTCAGAGTCTGGAAGAACTGTGGGTCTGGGTTCTCTGCTAGGTGGTAGTTCTGTAGCAGTAGCCAGTGTCCAGTCTGCAGGCAGTCCTCTATAGCATGCTGGACCTCAGACCACTGAGACTGGACACCAAAGTTGAGGATTCGAACTTTACCCTCCATGCCGACTTCGCGGGCCAGTCGCTTCACTTCATGGGCGGGGCTCATAAATGGATAGCCTGAGGACAAGAGAGAAGGTGAGGATCCATATCATGGTATATAGTCACAGATGTACACGTGTATTCCATGTACAGGCAAAAAAACACAACAGCACTGGTTTCAGCTTTAAAAAAATGTGAAAACAGGAAATATCACTTTGCACTCTCAGCACCACTGTCTGTTGTTGATTGGCAAAGAAAAAATAAAGCATTCAGAAACAAAATAGGAAAGCTGTAAATGGTTTCAAAGTTTCAATTTTCTATAGGACACTCTATAATTGATAAATCTAATTTCCCCGACTTTGGCTCATTCCCACATCAAATATGATCTTTTTGCAGAAGCCCAGGTAAAAAAATTTATCGACTCAAAAATATGTCATCAATGCATCAAATATTCTATTTTTCTTGCATGCCTTTTCTTAATTCTGAACATGACTGTCGGTAATTTAATTGCATTAAGTCTATCGTGTTTGAAAAAGGCTTTACCAAAATCAGCATGCTTACAGCTGTATTTGACCACCTGTAGTAGCATACCTCTTATAAACAGAATTTAAAGCATATTGGATCTTTATAAAAGACGGCGTAAAATAGATGCACTATGTCAACTGAAATTGATCTTTAATCGTGATGAATCCATTGAAAGAAAAGTGGCATTTTAAATTTACTCATATTTTCATGCACAAATAGTAAGAAAGACAGGAAGTGCAGACAAGAAACACTTAAATCAACAACACAGATTGTGTGCAACAGACAAACTAAACACAGTGACAAAAACCCGACAATCACACACTACAAAAAACATCAATAGGAACATGTTATGTAACAACAAGCCATACCAAGAGCATCATCATAATACAGTCGGAACTTGCTCTAACAGCCACCTATATAGGACAATCCCTGGTAAAAGCAACCAATTCCCATGTCCCTCCCTTGCATTTTTTAAATTACATTATAATGCCACTGTGTAAGGCAGCCAACTGTCTAGGGCGGCCACTTTTCTCCTTGACACAGGTTGGCCATCTCAGACAGTTCCGACTGTGTTAGATATTAGAAACACACTGTGCTCACTACTCTTGACAGTGACTGAAAAAACCCACAAAATTCACCCTTGGAAAATTTGAACTCGTGACATACATTATAACACGGATAGGTCGAACACAGAAGACTTGAAAACACTCATCCATTGAACTGTGCGTGCGGTCCCGTTTTTCTAGTCTTCTTTATCTTTGTAAGATATCCCTTGAACTATGGATCTCTCGAACAACAGAGGCTAGTCCTGACAAATTCGAGCTATCCATGTTATACTGCATTTAGTTGCATTTTTAAACCAAATCAAGTAAATCTGTAAACTGCAACACACAGGTTCATCTGCTAAATATAGTTTTGGAAATTTGCGGGTTCGTTCAGTTGACATTTCTTTTCATAAAACGAAAATTAAGAATAATTTGTGGTATACATGTAAAGGTTTCAAAACCTGAAAAAAAGAGATAAAGTAGCAAGCAAACTGCAAAACACACACACACACACACACACACACACACACACACACACACACACCCACACACACACACACACACACACAGACACGCACACATGTATTTGCAGCACACATACGTAGTAACATATTTTCTTCGTGCATGAGCATTTCCTGAGGACAAATCTGGGTAAAAAATTGTGCAGGTCAAACAGTCAGTCACTTCATGGCTAGGCCTTCAAAACATCCACATTTCTGAGCTCAACATTTTAGACAAATTTCAAAAAATCAGTTGGGACACGTTTGTGCAGAAGAGACACGGTGGTGAGTTATGGGAACACTTTCCAACTCTTCAGTTACAAACAACTGCAGACAAAACTGAAAGAAATATCAGACAAAGCACTCGGCCAATTTACCATTTCCCAAAACGAGTTCTTCATCCTCATCAGCTGAAATATTTAACAAACATTACCCTTTAACTGATGATGATAGAAAATGAACATGCACAACAAAGAAAATGGTATGGGAAAAACATTTCATAGTATTTCATGGCTACAGAGACCTAAAAAATAAGTATAATTTTAGCAAAAATAACAGAACCAAAATTTCTTTTAAAGGCTACTGAATAGACGAAACTGTTGAAAGAGAAAAGAAGGATCTTGAAAAGAACTACAGAGTCAGTGAAAATCAAGACAAAGAGATCCAAACGAAAAGTAGGTCGCACGCTTATGTAAATCAGATGATTGAATCAACATTTCAAGATCAACTGCAGTAAATTTGGAACATTATGGAACCAACGTGGAAATGGTAACTCACCAACAGTTCCATCCCAAGCTGGTCCTTTCTCCGATGTCGGTAACAGAAACACGGTAGGTGTGTGTTGGTCATTGCGAGCAAACACCTCTCTGATGTTGTAGTTGTCTGCGGGGTCCACAGCACTGCCCAGCTCGTACAGGATGATAGCCTGGGACAACTCTGCCATCTGAGAGAGAGAAAGACAGGAAATCATGTTACTCTTTAAGAACCTTTAACTCATTAAGACTTTATAGGCTTCATATTGCTGTCAGAATCCACAAACATTTGTGTCACGACCCAGTGGAATCAAGCACTCGTCAATTTTTGGGAATAGAGTTATTGATATCTAAAAGCTAACTTATTTGCCTTGCTTTAGATTTTAAAAAATAGCCATTTATCATGAACAGGAAACGAGATATTTGTGATTGAAGGAGGTGGGGGTCGCCTGATTTCAGAGGAAAAATTAGGGAGAAAAAGGCCGTCAAATTTGGGTAACTTCAATAGCTTGAGAGCCCTTGAAAACTAAAATTTTACATATTTTGTGCCTTTAGTAAACGGTTTTCAGTAAAATTCACTAGGATATTCTATAATGGACACAAAAGGTGAGTGGGCCCAAAAACAAAAATTCCTTAAAAATTGCCAAACAGGCAGAAAATGTCTTTTCTTTGATTTTATTATTTCAACAAGCGCCTGATTTCATCACGATGGCTTGCATTCACACAGTGTCAGACATATCTGACCAGCAGTGCTTACATGGTTTTGTCATGACAGCAGTAAGGACCTAAGTAGGGGGGGGGGGCAAGTTTATGCTACAACGTTCAGCCATTTCTTTAAAAAATATTATCTTTTAGACTACCATTCAATAACAATATTTCCTTGTCAACGAATCAAATATTATATTCTGTGTGTTCATGCAGAACAAAAAGTTAATATTTTCAATTTAAGGTCGCTTGGAAGTTCATACAAAAAAAGAATAATAGTGGCAGGGCTTAGACTGATATCTTTTTGCTCGTGTTTATATATAGATTATACGGAATTCATAGAAAAGAACATGTTCACTTCTATCTTTTTTCAAAAACCTCTACAAAAGTTTTTGAAAAACATTTCAGCACACTATGTCCTTGGGTACAAATCAGGAATCATAGCGTGCAGTCTCAGTGAATTAAACCAGAGGTAATCTGCAGTAAGCTGACACAATGCTTATTTTGAAAATTCACAGCAGTTTCAAGATAAAGAGGCCTTTTGAGAGTGTAATTATTCAATAAAGGCATTATTCCGAAATTTGAATTTATTTAAAAAACTAGTCAGTCTCACTTTGATTTTTTCACACAAGTATGGTAGGTACTGATCAGGCTTTCAATTTAGAAATTTAAAAAAATTTGGTGCCAAAAAAAGGCGTTTTGTCAACTTACTGCTGTAATGTGCTTCTGTCATGTGCCAAAGCACCTTGGGGAGTAAAACGTTGAGAATAACACTGATGCAAACATACCTTGTGGGGACATATGACTTTCCACAGCAGACACTTCTGGAAGAGAGATAACTCTTGCAGCGTTGTACCTGGCACCATGTTGACCAGGCTGACGTCATGCTGGGGACAGTCATGTTATTGTTGTAGCCCATGCTGAAGATGCTGTTGCTATTTTTGTGATTGTTGTTCTTGCTCTTGTTGCTGCTTTTGTTGTAACTAATGTTATCGCTGTAGTTGTAACTAACGTCACTAACATTTTTGTCGCTGGGGCTGCTGTAGCAGTTGCTGTTGTTTTTTATATTATCATCGTGGCTGTAATTCCTATTGCTCCTCACACTGATGCTGTTTCTGTTTTTGATTTTTTGTTATTGCTATTGATAAAATGTATGTTTTACAGACACACATGATTAAAACAGAAACATTTTGATTATGAATAGCATAATAGAAACACTGATTAACTGCAAAAGATAAAAGTAAATCGCAAGATAGAACCCAATAACTATAAGACACATTTTTGGTACAATGTTCTAAACACGTTTTTCCATTCCCCAGATTCATAGTACGATACAACATACAGTCGATTTTCATAAAAGAAGTGCACGAACCTTATAACAAAACAAGAGCTAATTTCAGACTACCTTGAAGTATTCCTCCCACTGCTGTGAGTTGTTGACCAGTGAATGACACAGGCCATGGAAGGGGTGATGCAAGGACTCCAGGATACTGCAGTCAAGCCAGGCCTGAGAGAAGGAAAGTAGCAATGATGATTTCATACAGAAAACACTTAGCAGTGTTGTAGGGACAAAATCTATGAAAAAGTAGATTATTGGTAGAAATGACAGGTATGATAAACAGAAATACATAAAGCAAAATACATGTTTATTAGACAGAGCTGTTTTACAGGCCTAGGTAAAATGAATCATCATCATCCAGTGCCAGAACTACGATAGACATCAGCGGTCATGGTTCTCCATTCATTACTTTGCTCCGATGCTCTTAAAAAAGCTAGGTTTTCCTGATCTTTCCCTGTAACCCATTTGTTTAGGTTCCCTAAGTAGGTTGCTCTGGGCCTACCCCTGCCTCGTTTGCCTTCAATTTTGCCAGTGAGAGCTAGATGTTCAAGACCCTAATTATGTCTATTCAGGTGTCCCAAAAAGTGCATTTGTCTTTTCCTGAGCACTACCTCATTTGATTTCTTTTCCTGCCACGATACTCTAAGCAGTCTTCTAAGAAACCAGTGGTTTCTATTTTATTTTCACATTGTCTTTAGTGATTGTCCAGCATTCACAGCCATATAGAGGAAGGGTTGACCATACATAGCATTTCAGATCTTTCATTTTGGTAGTCATTGAGATGTTTTTATTTTTCAGGATAGGGCTCATTTTATTGAAACTAGCCTTAGCCATTGTAATTTTCCATTTTTATTTCTGTGGAACATTTGGCATCAGATGTTATAATTATATATCTTAGATATTTAAACTGTTGGACTTCTTTGATCTTTGCACCTTTGTTAACGAGATTACAACTAGGATTTGCTGCTTTTTTGGATATTACCATGCATTCTGTTTTCTTTACATTCAACTATGATCCTTTACATGCACTTGGAATACAAACTGCTTAAAAAATCTTACATAGCAGGGAGGAAGCCATTTTATTTCAGTGTTTTTCGGCGCTTGAAACTGCATACAGTCGTATATAAGCGTGTGTGACAAATTAAGCACTTTCAATTTAGAAGGAATTAATTTTGAATTTTGCCGTGTAGTGGCCAAAGTCTACTATTATCCATTTTAGGATCACCAAGGGATCTCAAGAAGCTATTTGGGTAAGAACTATTTTACAGGGATTTAAGAATAAAGCGTCGATATCAGAGAGAGAGAGAGAGAGAGAGAGAGAGAGGGAGAGGGAGAGGGAGAGAGAGAGAGAGAGAGAGAGAGAGAGAGAGAGAGAGAGAGAGAGAAAGAGAGAGAGAGAGAGAGAGGGGGGGAGGGAGAGAGAGAGACAGACAGACAGCCATTGACAAAGAGGCTGAGCTCCTTGTTGCTGGCCTTACGCTGGCGCATCATGCGCTCCAGGGAGACCAGGAGACACAGCAGGTTGTAGTGCTGCTCAAACATCATCAGCTTCACATACTTGATCACTGTGTGGAGCACTGCGTCCGACAGCTCCTGCGCTCGCACTTGAGGTGCACCTGACACACACAAGACAAATCAGTTGGGTTTTTTCAGTGGGATGGAGGGTGGAGGGAGGGGGGGGGGGAAGTTTTGGGATTTTTTCTTTCAGTATAAAAAAAAAAATCAATCATATATAAGTGATGATCTTTTTTTTTCTTGATAGGTGTTTTACAGCGCTCACAAGGTCATATGAGCGCGCAGGACACAAAAAACATTTTCAGTTGGTAGGAAATTTTGAATTTTGCTCGAGTAGCAGCTGAAGCCTACAGTTATCGATTTTGGACCACCAAGGGATCTTTAACTTGAGCAACTTGCACACAGGATCTCCGAGATTTTTCCCCTTTATCTGAGAAAGCTAAGTGATTATCTGCTGCCATGAAAAAACAAAAAGACAGGGTTTAAGTGTGATGAGAGAGAACTATATCCATGCAAAAATGATCGTGTCATGCAAGGAAAAAGTCAGAGGGAAAAAAAAAAATTAGAAACTACTAATGATACTGGTCGCATGAGCCCACAGGACCCATGCACCAGAACTCCATTGAAGCTAGTTTTGTACCACAACACACTGAGGACCATTTTGCTGCCTATACTGACAAAAAGAGCTTGAATTCATAGGTTTACATCTTTCAGACATAGTGCCTTGATTTTTTTTTTAAATGTGACATTGAGAGAAATGTCTTACCCAGACTCCCCTTGCCTCGATCCCTGCTCCGAATGACAGCCGCAAACATCTCCACATACTTGTAGAAGGGCAGATAGTAGCAGGGGTACAACACCGCCATTTTACGCAGTACGTTGTACAGCATCACCGAGTGTTTGATGAAGGGGGAGTAATGGGCAAATTTCCCCTCCAGGTGGTCTCCCATGTAGCGGGTTTCTTCAAGGATCTGTCGATTTCTCTCCACGTTGGTCTGACACACGATGAGTGAGTCTAGCATAGTCTTGTCTTCTAGGAGAGGGCCATTGAGGTTGAGAGTTTTTTCTCGGATAATTTCCTGGAAATGAGAGACAACTCTAGACTAATATGTGTACAACAGTCCTGAAAAGGGAAAAGTGCATAATCTATATCTTAAAAGTTTGTCAGTAGGAACAGCAGATGTGCTGTTCTACTTAGCATATATATTTAGCATTCAAATAACATATTCTTATTATGTAACAATGTAAAAATATCCAATGAAGCAAACAAGGACCAGATCAGTCATTCTGGCGTTGACAGGGGAAGGAATTATATTGTAAGTGTGAATGGGAAATGGCAGTGTAATTTTCCAGTCACAAGAAAATTAATACATCAGTTCTCAAGGTGAATCTTTTGTCTAATTTAACACTCGACAGATTTTTAAAAAATTGACAGAGTATTAATAGATGAAGCAGCTGAGTGCAGAAATAATATATAGAGCATGGTTAATATCAAGACTTCCCCCTAAAAAAACCTTGTCCACAATAAGAACTAAATAATAGGCCCATTAGCTCAAGCTGTAGCATAGAGTAGATGACCCCTTATGCTACATTCTTGAAATTGAATGGTTTGGGGAAGTTTTCAAGGCTCTCAATTAACTTGGCTCTGTCGCAATGAATATAGAGATTTAATTCCTACCTCTTGAAAAAAATTTTAAGTGTTGAAAGAACTCATGCCGTACCATACAATGATGACTGAACATGAGGGACAAATCAACGAAACAATGATCATCTGCTTACATGTTCTCTAGCAAGTCTCTGTCGATGCAGGATTATGTCATTCTCATTTGACCTCTTCTGTCCCTCAAACTCTTTCTTCTCAATCTTCATCGTTTCAAACATGAGTCTGTGTATGATGGCCTCATCGCTCACAGCCATGTTGATGACACACAGTCGATTCAGTGGGAAACTGTAAAGACCATCACCTGTACAGAACAAAAAGCATGTATAAGTAGAGGCACATCAGTCTCCCTCTCTGAAAAGGGTTTTATGTCTTTTTTTTTTCTTAAACTCTAACCATTTTTAAAATGAACTCTTACAGCACCAGGCTATTTTTAGGATGAAGTCTTACAGCACTAGGCTATATTGTTAGCCCTCACTTCGCTCTGACCCAAGTGCGCTACAGTCCTTGATTCCTCAGGCCCCATCAATACAATGGGTTATGGTAAAAGCACACAGCTGAGTTTGAAGTCGTCATGCTCTGTGAAATATACTAGACTAGGCCTGAGGGGACAAGGACTCGGGAGGAAAATATACATGACTGGGGATGTAAAAGTTAAAAGAAATATTTTTGAGGGCCAAATACATTATTAGGGGGTTTTGGAAGTTAATGATTCATTCCTTGGATCTACTCTATTCATGATCTAACTGCCTCAAACTGAAATCAAGAGACATTTTAAGTCAAATTGGATCAAGTTCAAGACTAATGCTAATCTACAATTTTGGGCTCACCGACACAGAAAAGATATGTTATATTGCTGCCTTAGAATTACAAAGTTCTATCTGATGATTTTGGCCATTCTGAGTTACTAAGACCATGGGGTCAGAAACCAAATGTTTTATCTGCTCTATCAAAATCGTAAGATTATTTGTTATGAAGATATTCAAAGAAATGTATTTGAAAAAGCTTGACATGTTGTGTAACTCAAATTTTTTTTAAATGTCAAATTTCTTAAACCTAGGTACTGAAAGGATAGAACTTTGTCATTCTAAGGTAGAGCTGTGTTAGCCATTAGAGATTAAAGGATCATATATATTTGTACTAGTCCTTGACCTTTCACAAACAGCGGGACAGTGGTGCTGAGGTACAGGCAGAAGTTGGGGTGGTAGTTGAAGGCCATGTCTCCGACCTTGACGATCTTGTTTCCTTCCTTGTCCACGTAGAACTGCTTGAGCAAGAGACCTCTGAAAAACGGGTCCAGCGGTTTCCTCTCTAGATGGGTCACAAGAACGGTCACACCTGGGGAAGAAAAAACCACAACTTTACAATGAAAATTCACAATAACCACTGAATGTGATGGACATCCAGAAGGAGGGAACACACCTGAGAAATGTTTAAAACACTCTTTCCGTGACGAGCCATTATAAATCATCGATACAGTAAAATCTCTTTTGCAAAAAGCCCCTTCTGTGTACATGATATCTTTTCCCATATCATCTCTTTTCTCTTCAATTTAATAAAACTCAGGCCTATTTTTTAACATATAAGTCTGGCAACCAACTTCTCCCATCACTATACACAACAGACTGGTAGGGCACCAACTGTAGATACCTCTTTGACACGGATAGATTTAACAACACTTTTCATCAACTGCTTTAAACAATTTAAATACTGGTAAAAAATCTATTTGTTCACCTAAAGGAAATGTGCCATGATGACGAATCGAAATCAGGCTGTCATCAATTTTGGGGCATATGGAATTATTCGTTCATTTGTCTTTCTTTTGGAGAAAAAAATACTTGTGTGTCTTGAACAAATGTGGAGGTATTTGCAACTGAAGGATGATGGTGTTAGACGTAAAATTAGCAGGAAAACTGCTGTCGAAGTTTGGTGACTTCCAAAGCTTGAGTGTCCATGGAAACTGCAAATTTGCTTTTCTTGTGCCTATCATCAACTTTTTCCAGTAAAATCCACACAGAAATGTGTTTCAAAGTGGACATAAAAAGTGCCGAGCCAACTAATAAAGATTTGGTAAAAATTGCCCAACAGGTGGCAGAATATAGATTTCTTTGATTTCAATAGTAACTCGATTTGAAATTGAAGAAATCAGTATTTTCACGAACACTTCATTTCACCAAAATGCAATACAAATGTTCATTTTCATTCCCAACTCAGAGACTGTGAGTCTGTGACAGGAAATGGGAAGTTGACCAACCCAGTGGAGGATGGATATTTTTCGGAGTCTCCTCCATGGTCTCTGCTCATCAATGACATGATACCAGCAATGGTTTTCTTCCAAGTATTTGGATATTCAGATAATTCAAAAGCTGCCTTTATTTAACATGTCAATGGGGTCAGTATTCTAAGCAAAACAAGCAATAATGCATGAGTTGTCCCATATAGTTAATCTTTCATTTTATTTTTCTTCTGCTCCCTAGTCGGCTTTTAATCTTTACTTTTATAAATCATTTTGTCACAAAAAGTGTTGTAGCCAAAGATCATATGCTGTTTCAAACTGTTAAAAGAATACACACTGTGTTCTTTACTTTTTGGAAATAAACACATTTTTCCACGAAGCCATTCATATGTTCATGAAAAACAAATCAATTGTCTTCTCACCATGCACAATGGCATTGATGAGCCGGGAGTTGATGTTTGGGTCATCAGCCTCCAACACCCACAGACTCGAGTCCGGGACATCCAAATCGGTCTCAGCATTCAAGTTATAGCTGTCCCAGCTGTTTGTCACTGATGTCACGGGACGCAGCTCATCACTGTCACCTGTGTGCCTTGACAGCCAGCCATGGCTAGGAAAGAAATAGACTTAAAATTTAGCATGTGTCAGTAGTAAAGATTATAATAAGGATAATATGTAATGAGAACGTTAAACAGGATTTTAAAAAAAAATACCATGAGATCGACTTCCCCCTATCAAATCATCATTAAAAAATTACATATAAATTTACAGACACTTCTCACACCCCTACTCTTAAAAGCAGACAAACAGCAAAAGGGGGGAGGGGGGGAAGATTTAAACATGATGAGGTTAACATTACAATATTTATTTAATTTTGAATTTTTCCTTCAGAGGAATGCATGCCTGCAAGAAAAAAATTATTTTGGCATCAAAGTCAGCAAATAAAGCACAGGGAAGAGTCCGCAGAACTTCTTTGCTCACCTTGTCATAGCCCTGGAGGTGGAAGTGTACTGGGACTGACTGTCAGCGAATGTGTACTCTGTCACGTCAGAGAAGGTCAGGATGGTGCCTCTGCTGGGTGGGGGCTCAGGGATGTCTTGCTCACTACTTTTTTGCAAGCTTCTTTCATCAATGGGGATAGCTATAAAGCAGAAGAAGAACATAGAAAATTTGTTAGATGTTGCGGTGTGTCTAACTTAACTTTTTATCCCTGGAGGAAGTTTTCCCATTATGCTAGGGTCATTTTTTGATTCGAAAGCTAAAAGTGAGGAATACGTCACTAAATTGGTCATTAAATCATAACAAATGAACCTATTTATAAAGTTCATCATCCATTGAAAGAACTACCCGTAAAAAAGACCTGTATTTAGCAATTTCAAGAATTAATATAACGTAGATGTCATCCTAAATGAATGTGCCCAAGCCGCTGCCAGCAGCTCAATGGCAGAGTGGTTCCTAATTGGAGCCGCTGATAGAGGCTTGCCAGAGATAAAGAGTCAAGAACATGGCTTTGTTGTAATGATTCAGGTTAGGATTTTTATTTGTTAACAACATTTCTTTTCCGCTAAAGAGAAGTATGTATTGATACAATAAACATCCCTTATTGGTGAAAAAAAGTAAGATATAGACAGAGACAAAAGAGATATAGTAAAGAGGTAAAATCAGGATAGTGGTCAGTATTAATATCATGATTATTTTTGGTAGGGCTGAGTATGTCACAGTGAACCCAAGTCATTCACAGCAGTACACAGTTAGCGTAGAAGCTTCCATCAAGGTTAAATTTCTTTTCATCTTCGATTTTTCCACAACAAGTATCCATGTCATTAAAAAATTAGTAACGCCGATGTCTTTTACTTACTCTGCAAAGCAAGACGAAACTCATTCCCTCCTTCACTTCTAACACATCACTTGGAAAATCTACAGACAAATAAAGTAACACATTGCTACCTTAGAATTACAGAGTTTTATCTGATATTTTTTTTCCTATTTTGAGTTACTAAGACCATGAGGTCAGAAACCAAATGTTGTATTTGCTCTTTCAAAATCATATGATTATTCGGAGTCGCTATTAAAATATTCAAAGAATTACATTTGAAAAAACTTGACATGTCGTGTAACACAACATTTTTTACATCAAATTTCTCAAAACTATGCACTGAACAGATTCTTCTTCCTCGTTCTCAGGTGAATAGATAAAATTTGTAATTCTAGGGTAACAATCTGCCACAAGGCAACAGGAACAGATCCCACGTAAGTGCCAACCAGCCCATCTACATTGGTAAAAGGAAGATGAGAACAGACTACCCACCGTCTTCCACAGCAAAGTCTGCCACATCACGTTCAGTGAAGACATTCTGGCTGTTCTGCAAGGCTTTGACCCACATCTCTGCCTGGTTGTCTGGGTCGATGAGCAGCGGCCAGCAGTGTTTGCGGTTGTGACAGCATACACGCATCATCAGCGCATTCTGGACCTGAACACGGCAACAGTGCCAGAGTAAGAGGAAAGAGAAAACAGTATGGACAAGGTCTGAGTATAATGCGGCCGGAAACAACAAGCACTGACTACATTCAAATCAGGGGGATGTTCTCAACAGTTATATTTGGACAGAATTGAAGAGGGGTCTCCAGTGGCCATATGGTTAGTGAGCGCAGACTAGACTCACAATAAATGTCAAGAATTGGTGACATGGTGTTTAAATTTGTAGTCACTGGGGTGTGTCCTCGAGCCACACACAATAATCCTACCTAAAAAATCAGGGGGCTGCACTATGGTGACTAGCAATCGTACGTTTTTAGTATCTATGTTTCTAAGTATGTATGTTTCTATGTATTTATGTATGCATAATATATGTTATGCCAATGTAAACCAAGTTTGTGGGCTCTTGTGGTCTAGAGGTACAGTGTACACCTCTCATTCAACAGGTCCAGAGTTTGAAACCTGACAGTGAGGGAAAATTTTCTTCCATAAAACTTACTCCTTCCACCTCTTTCTCTGCCAACTAATCACGTTTTGCCATCTGTTTTCATCTCCACTTTCCAATTGCCAAAACAGCACCAAAAAAATCCCAAAAAGTTACAGTACAAATTAAATGAAATTGACCTATTTTAAAAGTGTTGAAAAGGAAAATCAAAGAAAATTTAAGGAAGACGACAGAGAAGGACATTTCTGTGACAAAGTAACATATTATAAATACAAAAGTTCTGCAATTCTTTTATATCAAATTTGCAATTACAACTTATGCAAAAAGCAAGAATCATAACTCTAAACTTGAGACCACTGCTAAATACCCCCCTCCCCTTTCCCCCCCCACCCGTTCCCCCTTTATCTCACACAACATTTCTCTCCCACATCACTGACCGAGTGCAGGTCTGTAGGCAGGTTCTGCATCCTCCAGTCACTGAGCTCATCAAAGTCAGAGAGAATGTCCTGCAGCGTAAGATTGGGGCGGGTCGGAAGTGGACCATGGTCATCCTCGTCGTCCGAGTCATCCATGACATCTTCCTCCAGGATGACACTCTCCATGGTGTCCTGTTTCTTCAGCTCGTTCTTGTAGTACTTGCTGCTGTCATACACTGCTGACATGTACTTGAATGTCTTCACCTGTCGTGTCAGTACACGTGAAACGTATTACAAGGGACATGATACACAGGTCATTCACTGCAGCATCAGAACAAAAGGAAAGGTTTCATAATAGCACATGGCATAAAGGTATTGAAAGTTTTTCAGCGGGACATGAAGCAAAGATTATGTATTCTGATAGGAACTGAAGTAAAGCTCGTAAATGTTTTCAATACATCAAGTAAAATGGGGTGCTAGTGTATGAATACTTGGGGAACCCGAAGAAAAAGAATACTAACTAAGAGATACAGGAACTCAAAGAGTATATGTGACGCACTGTGGCGAAATCAGGTACTCGTCAAAATAATGAAATCGAAGAAACAGGCATTTTTCTACGAGTTATGCAATTTTTATGGAATTTTGAGGTTTTTGTTTAAACATTTTACAGTAGTCTCCGCCTAAACGCACGCCATACAAAAGCACGCTCCGCTCAAACGCACGCTTTCGTCATTTGATGGGTTTCTTACTACATAATTTAGACGTACAAACACACGGTCACTCCCTCTAAACGCACGCTACGATCCACGAAACACACCGACAGATAAAGCTAAACAAAGGGAAATCTGCACAGCTTGCATAGGACAAGCCTAGACAGCATGATATTTGGTGAGACTGCCCCTCACACCGAACAAAGAGAGTGATTGACAGCGTTTTCAAACCCAACTTTCCAAAGACAGTAAATAGGTCTAGGACTGGTCGGTGGAATGTTGGAGAGGGTGACTGAAATGTTATCTGATTGGTCACTGGGTTTCTGACAGGTGTTTGGGTGAGTGCATGTAATGTTTAGTTAGACCTAGGCCTATGATGCGAAACACGCGTGAAAGCTCGCCCATGAATTTACGGTCGGGGGTGGTCGCTAGGAAAGTCACGTGGCTGGGCCGTCGACTCTGTGACAATCACCAACAGTTTCTCTTACGCTCTCTGTTCCCAACATTTTATGGTACATATCAATACATTGAATCTGTAATTCTCCCCCCCCCCCCCCACACACACACCCATTCAACGCCTTTTTGTATTCTTAACCGCAAGCGGGGAATCCTTCACAAAACCGTCACATTATCACCTCAAAGTGACCCCGTCCCAAAGGGAGGTCACTAGAATATCAAGGCAACGAGATGACTGCGTCCCTTCCTCCCTTTGCAAAGGTTCATGTAAACGCACGCTCCGTATAAACACACACTAAGGAGCCCTCCCGAGCACCGTGCGTTTAGGCGGAGAATACTGTATATAAACATTTCCACGTCAATCTTACAGAAAAAAAGTTGATTTAATTAACAACACATGTAATTTTTGTGTTTTTAAGTACTTTTAACCTATTTAAGTTACTAAACTCTGGCGGCCATTTTCTCCCTATTTTTACCACTGAAATCAGGCGACTCAACCTCCTTCAATATATCTCGACTTCTAATATTGATTGTTGGGTAGGCCTACTTTTTTCATCGAGAGCAAGACAAATGAATAAACTTTAAGATGATACCAATATCTCCACATGCCCAAAAATTGACAAGCGCCTGATTCCACCGCGACGGGACACACATAAGTATGGTTTGGATACAAGTTGAGGGATGTGGAAAGATGTTCATTTAAATAGGCATTTTTAATATCTGGTATAAGAAATAAATGCACTTAACAAATTAATAGCAGTGGCATGCATCCAAAGAGCTACAATAAATTTACATTTCCAGTGCCATGTATCAACATCATTCAGTAAAGTTCACTCAGAAATATGTTTTTAAGTTGACATATAAGGAGTGTACCCCAACAAAATAAATTAGATAAAAATTGCCCAACATTACAGGAAAAAAAAATTGGTTTCTTTGATTTCATTAATTTGATAAGCACCTGATTTCACGATGACTTCACACACGTGTCAAACCATGGTGGAATCAGACCCTCGTCAATTTTTAGACATTTAGAGATGCCGGTATAACCTTAGGGTCTGTTTGTTTGCCTTTCTTTTGATTAAAAAAAAACAAAACAAAAACAAAAACCCAGGGTCGTGCCACTGACTGAAGTGTCTTTAGGCCACTCCCCAAGGGGAGACATTTCTCGTTCTAATGCACAGTAGAATTGTAAATGGGCTGACCCAACAATGTCATGCTCATAACTGTGCTTGAACTACAACAGGGAACTGCTGCTTTTTCTTTCCAAATCCTTACTATTGTCATTTTCCTCTACTTATTTTGTATGTTTGTCACACTCTTGTGACCCGCTATTTCCGGGGTGCCTTGATAGTCGAAGCAGACTTTGTGCTGTTGAAGCTAGAGAGGTGAGCAGAGTAAGTCTGATTCCCTGTAAGGACTTCTCTCTTGACATCCACCCCTTGGTGCTCATATGACCTTATGCAGTAGCGAGCGCCGTAAAACCTCTACTAAAACTAAACTAAAAAAAAACTCCTTTATTTTGTATAGAAGTCAAGACATTTGCTATTGAAAGAGGTGGGAGTAGCACAGCGTAATAGGTAAAATTAACAAGAAAAGGTCCCTGAAGTTTAGTGACGTTCAAAGCTTGAGTGTTTTGGAAATGGCAAATTTACATTTTCTGAGCCTTTGATCAATGTTTTTCAGTAAAAAACCACAGACAAGTGTTTCTAAAAGGACATAAAAGTTGTTGAGTCCATCCCCCCACTCTCCCACACAAAAAAAATGATAGAAAATGTAGTCTTGTTTGATTTCATTATTTTGACAAGCACCTGAATTCAGCATGATGCTCACATGTCTCCTGTTGGAAGGTATACTAAAGCACTCTACAGGAACAGACACTTGACTACAAATAAAAGCCTTTTAACTTTTTTGGTAGCAATCATTGAATAACTCCTTTCTTTATCCCATAAGCCTTTATGGTGATAGATTGTAGCCCAAAAAGAGTTAAAACCATACCTGAGGGTGGGATGGAAGGTTAGAGCTGACCTCACTCCTGTACGTCTCTGTGGCATGAGAGCCAGAAGCTGCCTCACTCACATCTCCGCTGTTCCTCCGTCCTTGAACCTGTGACCCCCCACCCTCCATGAGGAGTTCCAGCCGCGCAGTGACGGAATAAGGCTCCCGATCCATGTAGGTCTGAGCATCCAGAGTGCTATGTTTGATCCGGTCCAGCCATTCGTGGATCAGATCCAGCCTGGACTTGTCATCCAGTGGCCCGTGATACACGACACAAGCGGCTGTGATGATGGCATCACCGGGAGCTGATGCGATTTGCTTGCGGGTCTTCTTCAGCTCTGATCTCCACAGGAAATGTTGCATGGACATGTTCTCCATCAAGTTGTTGGCTCGGGCAATACGCCTCTCCACAGCCTAGAGAGATACATAGGTGACCATTTACTCCTGTACATTGTAGAAAAATGTAGACACACACACAAGATCATTTTGTTTCGGTCCCTTGCCCATTTCTATGACAATGATGCCATCTGATTAGTAGAAAAAGGTGTGTATGATAGTGTTCAACAGTGTATTACGTATATAATTATAACATGTAACCGTCACAGATAGATATTCAAGGAATATAGATGTATGTCAAGGATCTGAGAGCAAACACTCACACAAGATCAAAAAATTCATCTACAGCTGTAAAATCCTCACATACACTCACGCAAGTATCCCCCCATACAACACAGGCATACCCCATAGTCACAGCCTCACATATTCACAAAGATGTTCCACCCATCACCTGAGCACATGAACACATGAACACATTTTTCCCAACCTGTATCTGTTTCTCAATGGCCTTGGCCACTTTAACTGCCTCCTTGTGATGGTTGATGTGCTGCTCCAAGCTGTTTTTGATGCGGTGAGCCTCCACTCTCAGCTGACCTAGTTGGGCTTGGGCCTGGAGGAAAGTTACCAACACCAGTGAGAGCTCTCTTACAATTGTGTAACAACAGAGTAACTCAGTATTTATTGTAACAGAAAAATACTGTCATGACCTGAGTGTTTTGTCCTGTGCTCCACAGAATTTTATTTACATTTTGTACTACTTCTGTTCTCAGAACTGGAATTCAGGGCTTTTAGAACTGGAAAAATGAACTTAAGATGCCTAAAAAATGTCTCTAGAGCAGTGCAAAATCTCACCAAATATTAGAAAGTGAATATGTGATATGACCTTTGATATTCTTACTCTTATACTTCCATCTTTCTGTCAAATTGTACCTCACAAAGCCCTGGCACACCCTGAGCTGAAGCAGCCTGCCTCCTCAATGATCTAAAAAGTATCATGGAGGCATAATGCATTTACAACTACAACTGCTGTTCAGTCCAAAAAGCATAGACTGGCATAATTTGGACACATAATGAGACATGACAGACTGCCCAAGGAGACTAATTAATTGTAGTGGGATCTACCAACACATGCAGAGGAAACAAGTTCCATGCCTGAGTGAGGAATTAAAAAAAAATTCTTTGAATATGTCCATCTGTTAGCTGGGATGTTGGATCCCACTCAGGTTGGGCTGGCTTTGGCAGGTAATGAGGGTTGAAGTAGCCTGCTTCCCTAACGATCTAGAGTGTGTCAATGGGGGCCATAGAAATTAAATTACCAACGAAAATATTTCTGCAACAGCACTACATAAGATGCCTCTCTTTCTTTCATAAGCCAGAAATACCTTGGTAAACTTGTTCTCCGCATCCAACAAGTTCTTGAGGTGTGGCTGCATCTTGCGGTGAATGCTACTGTACATGTAGACAGCCCTCACCCAGCAGCACATGGAGCTAGCGGCACTACTGGCAAAACGGACCACGTGTGGATCAAACAACGGGTTGACCATAAACCTTTTCAAAGCATTGAAGATGTCCTCTGGGATGTCGTCCTTGTTGTAGAAGATGAGTTCTTGAAAGAAGCTCTTGTCAGCCATCAAAGACTTGGCACTATCCCAGCTGAGGAACAATAACACATTTTAAAAAAAGTTCCAGTACTAAGCGTGCGCATAAAGAAAGGCATATTGGTACAATAACGATCATTTAGAGGAGGTAAAAAGCAAGACACACAGTTAGAGACAACAGAAGTAGGACCTCCTTCCAGCCACCTGCTTTGATATGGCAATCTCAAACCTTACATTTAAATTTAGTTTCCGAGGTAAGCAAGCAACTTTCATGTCTAAGTTTGAGTTTTACACAATAATGATCATTTAGGTATGGCAAAAAGTAAAACAGACAAGCAGAAAAAAATAATATAAGAAAAGAAGAAGGCATCCTCCAACAATAAGTAACCCATGTAAAAGAAAGCAACTAATGGGGCACAAAGGCAGATAACAGGAGGTAAACAGAGAATACATGTTCAAATGAACTCAACATGAATTCATTTGATCATTTCTTCTCCTGACTTCGTAATACAGAAATCCATAAAAAAAGGGTGTTTTGACCAAGCTCTATAAATAATAGTTTGACAGATAAATGTTTACCTTTTTTTTCAACATTCCTCTTCAACAGCACCCCCCCATAAAAAAAAAAAAAGAAAAACAACAAAAACATAAAAGCAAAGGCCTTAAAAAAAACACCACAACACCAACCAAAACATAACAAACCTATTCGAAAAAGAAAATATAAACGAGTGAAATGAATATTGGAACTGAAAGTATAATTTAAGATTGGCTAGTTAAGGATTTGACATCACTTTCAAGACAATAAGGTTAAGACTCTGCTTAGGGGGGCTCGCCGGAAGGGTCTAGGGCCTCAGAGACTGATTTTCACTCACTCTAAGCACTTTTTACTTTTGGAATTTTCCGATCCCTAATTCAGTCTAGATTTTATTGATACTCGTCGCTGAGCGAGTAACATTAACAGAATTCAATTTTTTCTCCAAATTTTTTTCCCCTGAAATTTGGCAGGTAGTTAGAAAATAATTTGTACTTGTAGTGGGCTTGTTAGCAGTGGCGGTGGGAGGACCAAAACTTGGGTGGGGCTTAGGTTGCTTCCAGGTCTCTACCACCAAATAGCAAGCAATAAAAATTAAACAGTGATGATTTTTCTATACCCACGATGAGCCATGTCAGTTTGAGAACCATTCAAAAGAGAAGAGTTGCCTTTGTTTTCCATCTCTTTGTTCTTAGTTAAATTCTTGTTGATGGTGGGGACGAAGCTGATTCACCTCCAAATTTCCTCTAATTAGTTTTCGTGTGATGAAAAAGTTGCCTTACAAGTTGTTCGACCTGATTTATAACTGTTAAAT